ATTTCAGCCCTTTGCAGATACTGCGTTCGCTGCCTTGTATGTTTACACATACCTTAAAAACCCATGTGCCCTTGGAAAGCACTGTGCAGTATATCAAAATAAAGAGTTAAAAAAGCAGACCCGTTTTCAAATTAACGCTGAGGTGCTGCATTCGTGGTGGTCTTTGTGATTTGAATTTTACCCTTTTTTTTTTTTTAATCCCTCCCGTGCCCTGACTGAGATGCAAGTCCTGAGGGAAAAATAGAACATGATTATGCATTTGAAGACTCAGTGCGTGCAAGGAGCATTGCTGAACTTTGTGAGCCTTTAGCAAGGGGGAGAAAGGCTAAATCTTACGTTAAAAAAAAAAACAAACCACACAAAACAAAACAACCACATAGATTTGTTCAGTTTATCTTTCTGCCACTATATAATAACTTGTGGTTTTTTCGTTGGTCTGGCGATGAATTTTGAAATGGCTGAGTGCATGGTAGAAATGGTACATGGCACAGCACAGAGACTAACACCTGAAAAAAAATTAGGTTAATATTTTTGCATCGGTTTACAATCTCACCAACCCATATAATGTTTTCTACTTCCCTTCCTCTGTATACACCACCACAGTGGTCCTTGTCTTCAGAAATAATCTTGGTTACTCTTCTGTCGTTGTCCCCTGTATTCTCTGTTAAGGAAGCCCCATGGGTGCAGAAAATCTCTTTTCTGCGTTGCCATGCAGATTTGACGAAGCAGGAACACTGCAGTGATACAGCAAATGTGCCCAGCTATTTCGTTTGGGGGTTGATTTTTAATTTTAATTTAATAATATTTTAAATTAAATTTCCCATCTTGCAATGATCTCTCTTAACATCAGTTTTGCCGCTGTGAAGCTCTGGAATGGCACGCCGGATGGTTATTTTGTGTAGCATTAGCACGGATGGAGGCTTGTGGAAAGGTGCCAGTGTTGTTCTATCTGCAGGTTGGCCTGGCTGTTTCTGTGTATGTAAGAAGGCAGGCAGGGTATCAGTCAGCTTTCAGATCTTAAAATTTCCTAATGGATTAGGCAAGTAATGGAATATTTTCCTACCTTCTCTTTGTAAACTGTCACCCTTGGCAGCATTATAGATGGTTCTTTTGAACATCTCGGCCAGCTTCAGTTCTGTAGCATTAGATAATGAACGTGCTTAAGTGCTCTCTACATACTCCAAATAAACATCCTCTTTCGGGGGGCTTTGACTTTTTTTTTTTAATTCTTTTTTTTTTCC